CACTTGTTCTCACTCCTTTTCTAGATCACGGTGGTATGGTTAGAACATTCTCCAAGGACAACGTGAGACAGTTTCATGAAACTTTTGACGTCGCTAAACTGGCTCAAAAATTAAGTGTAGCGTCAATGGAAACATTTAAAGCAAGCTGCAATCAAAATATAACAGTTATAACCGCAGCAATAGCTTTCAACAAACTTCAAAGAGACATTGCTATTTATAACGAGACACGGATATTCTACCGAAATGTCATGAACATTAGTCTTCCCATATTTAATAACAAGTTCGTGAATTTTTCCGAAGACATTTTGCAATCTGATGTGATGTGTGTTGGAATACTTCAGCTGCGCTCTTTTAATGTCAGGGATATGAGCCGACGCTTCAATCGTGTTTCGTTTAACAAAGAGCTCAATTCATATTTGGTGAAAGCGCCATATATTATGAACGCAGCAAACCAGTTACAAGATACAATTTGTCCTGGAAACTCATATTTTGCATTTCATTGGCGAAATAAGACAGGAGAGAGGTAATTAACAATATATTACTTAAATTATGCATATTTTCAATAAACGTTTGCTAACTAAGTTTACTTACATTTTCTATATTTGGGTTGCGGTTACGTGCCGATGTCATGGAGTGTGGATAGCTTACTATTTGAAGGTAGAGGGTGAATCGACCCCCAAAAAACGCACAACAGAATGTTCCCACAGATAGTTCAGCTTTATTACCAGCCGGTCCTAAAATAATGGGCTATCAACTCATATAACCAAGTATCCGTTCTCGGTCGGGGTTCAATCTCCATATCCCAAAATTTTTGGTCGAAAATACAATTATTTAGCAGTAACGAGGCAGTTAGCTTAGCACAAAGAAATTTATTTCTAACATGCGTACTCAATCTAACGCAAGTTTTCATCTATCTAGATTAATCTCAGTTGTTCTTGTCTCAATGTAAAATGGTGATTGTCAGTATTGGTCAGTATATTAACTCATCGGTCGTTATTGTTTAATCATGAGGTTACACCCAATTTGTGAACTGTAAATTAGTTAGTTTTCCACAATAAATAGTACCTCCGCAGAAAAATCGTCAACAATCAGCGTCTTCATTGAATACAGTGATTTTTACTATCAATCATCATGACGTCATCGTCATAATTAATCACAATTTGCTTTGAATCTCGTGGTAGACGATGTGGGATGTTAAATCGTATTACTAATTAATTCAACGGCTTCGACCTACTTTACATGATGTAGTCATTATTGGCTCGACTACGGTATTCGGTTACAGGTTAGGCTGGCTATACAGATGTGAACGTTTCGGCCGTCATCGCAATGCACTGTTTACAGTCTTTTGTGTTTGTGTAAATGAGTCTGCCACTGACAGCAATAGGGCGAAACAGTGTGTGCATTTACATTGTCGTGGTACACCCGGTTGTAGAGATCTTTATCGATTGTTGTTCCAATGAAGTATCTTTCCTGTTAGTGGGTGATCTTATCGTTTGTCCCCTCCGAGCTGTGTAAAAAGCTGTTCGAGTGAGGTTTTACGAGTGGACGGCGAAATATTCTATAGGTTTGTGGGCGGAAGGATTATTCTGCATTTGGGAAGGAAGTTTTATTTAGCTAGACCTATCCAATTCCCATGTTTTTAACAGTTTCCTTCAGGCGACACTCACGATGCCTGTGTGTGACATCGCGATCAGTGTCATGTGTTCACGTATTTTTTTTTACATCTTCGGGATCCTTAGATTTTTTTGAGTCGAAGGTAGTGTCGATATCGATATTTTGCCTGCGACTGCACTCGCGTAGGATGGAGTACGTCTAACGTTCTGAATATCATATTTTCTAGTCCTCACTTTTTCTGCTTGGTATAACCTTTTCACCAGCAATTGTTCAGGACTCTTACAGACGCGTCTCTTGAAAATAGTAGTTTGATTCGGTTAGGTGACTTTGAAGCTGAAGTAATTTGGGGTTTCCACAATGTTTTGCAAGTGCGTTTGTTGTGATCCACCGTTCTGTGGGTGGATTCACCCTGTATCTGTAAATCGTAAGTGTGAGCCAGTCTGCTGCCAAACGAGTTGATCTACCCACATCCTCGGTATTTGCACCTAGTTGTTAAATTTGACGGCAGAGATTTTTCAATTGAATTGTTTCTATAGATGTTTCTTTGGCGATGAAGAATGTCCCGAAGATTTCAGTGAAAGTTTTTCTGTTCTAAAATTTGGCCAAAGAATTGGTACAGTTGTCGGCGAATTAATGGATAAACATAATTTGACTTGTATATATGTGGCACATCCATCCTGGTCGAAGGTGAGTTCAATTAAACTATTGTTCAACTATAAACCATTTATATACTGTTTACACTTGTCTGTATTTTGCAATCAAATAATCATATCGATGTCCATTACAATTTATCTGTTTTTTTTCCAGGAAATCGTAAATTATCTTTCACTGAGGATTCCTAGGAAACAAATATTCTCCTTTGCTAATATTACTGCAACTGACTTTGTAGAAAAGGAAGAAATCGTGACAGATTTTTACAAAATATCGCTACTAGAAAAGGAAATATGCGCAAGTAAGTTCTAGAAAATTATTCTTGGACGACTATGTGTCTTCTAGTAGGTGTGATCTATAATGTTACTTGATTCAGAACTATATTTTCACATTGGGTTATTGTGCTAACTAGTTTATTTCATAACACTACATATATTTTTAACTATCAACAGTTCATGTTCATGGCCTAACGTCATTAATGAATTAACAATCAAAGTCACCATCGTTGTTTATATGAGAGCCATATATCTCGCGCATGCGTGGCTCGACGACTACCGCCCTTGAACTGTTAGTTCAAACGCAGCAAATCATTGTATTATAAGATCTCGTATTTCGATTCATGCTGTATCACATGATTAATCATCACCCTATAGGACAGTTATAGTAAGATTGGCCACTGCTATAACGTGCTGAATCTTGAAAAAACAATATATTGTTTATTATTTCTAATGCACCAAGTTACTTATGCAAATTATACTGTATTGTAACTATAAATTATCCGTTGATATTCACCACTGTCTTTACTAAAATGATTGGAAGCACTTTTTAAATTTTGTATTTGAATTAAAACGTTGCTTTAGAAGAAATGAATTTAGTCGCAAATGTAATTGCCAATTCAAGCCTGTTAACACAGTATCTATCATGCATGTTTGTTTCTTAATTGCAGGGGGAAAGTATTTTCTCGGCGTTGCAGAGTCTACGTGGTCAAGAGATGTAGTAGAAGAACGAAATCAATATAAATTGCTCTCTACATATCTGGAGTTAGTTTTACCTTTTGCGAACAAATTTCTCGAAAAACTTCCCACATCTGTTTGGCGTCGAACAATTCCAAAAACTGATGTCAATAATTAACGCTGTTCAGGTGTTTCGAATACTTACACGAATTACAAATAATGGAAACATTTCACTGTGCGTTATTAAATTGATTCACAAGATAGTTGACTTTTCAGCACCTTGGAGCGTCGTTATGTCACCAGTAGCACGCAAAGGCTGTTTCGCTGGATGATGATTTCCAATATGTAGTGGACCAGTAACCTAGGCAAGTTTTCAACAGATTCAATAGGGATGCATCGATTTATTAACTAGCAGATGCGACTTTGACGAAACGTGTTGTGAGAGTTGGAATGTGTTCATACAGTCTTGTCATGGTAACCAGGAGTACGGTTTCTGTGGGAAAAATGCACTATATATATCGTTATGACTTAACCCATAGTAGAGCAGACTTCCACCTGACCCCAAATGTCACAAAGAATTCAGTGAAAACAACAACTGACATCTTCATATTATGTTTTTGAGAAAGTTTAACTGCATCACCGAGCATTTCACATTTTTATTGACTATCATTCATACATTTACACTATATGTTGTATTCTTCGGAATACAATTAGACTGTTCAAAGTAAGCTTTATAACTGAGTATGCTACTCTATAGATCGAGAGTTTGGTCCAGCTATCATTCCCACATATACCAAGTAAGGGGCAGACCAGTAACAATAGTAGAGAAATAGGGAGAATGAAGGAAGGGAAGACATGACATATTTAACAGTCACTTGAGCCGTTGTTAAAATACACATGAATAAATTCTGCTTTTAAAGATTGAAAATGAACAAATGACCACGAAATACATTAAAATAAACCATCTCAAAAGCCCTTGCTATTACATTAAAAAGTCCACTCAAACTCGTCAGTGTAAATAATACTTGACTGTTACCATATTCCAATAACATTGTTGGACACTATTTTATCTTCATATTTTGCAATCCATATCCTTATATTTAAATCTGTTTCAAGAGATTTTAAGCATAACAATACAACGACTAGATTTGGTGTCACAGTTTGCTTCAAATTCAAATTCAGATATTGCAAGCAATAATTAATAAATCTTGTTCACCATACCTTTTATTCTCCGATATCATATTCAATGGCTAGTTCCCAGAATCTACAACAGTGATTGGAACCATACCATTTCAAGCTATAGGGTGTCTAAATTATTGATTCAACAACCAATCAACATATCTTCCACCGACCACAAAAATTGTATCCATAATTTAACAACCAAGAAAGCAACAAACATCAGGCTGCATCCTGAAAACAACGAGATAGAATATTACAACCAGTCGTTGCAAACATGAAATCCTCCACCCCTCAAATATATTTGAATGTATGTACAACAAGCTTAGGCAATAAATGCACGCGAATAATCAAACATTTGTCCAACCACCCATCCCAATTATTGTTGAGTGAGGGCGCCATTTACTAATGACGTGGATCTTTTAAAAGAATTGACAGAATTATATATATATATATATATATATATATATATATATATATATATATATATATATAGTATTATTGCCACACTGTGTGATGTGATTAACAACAGCTGTGGTTGATATGTAACAGTTGTTAGCACATTTTGTAAGGGAACACAGTATTACACGTTTGAAGGTGGCTGACTATCTCTCCCAAAAACAACATGTCTAAGTGTGTTTTACTCTCAATTCTGTTCATCATCGTGAGTGTCAACTGCTCAGAGTTAAGAGGCGGGGTAAGTATATAGTGCTGATGTAAATTTTCTAATCATGGCTAAGAATACTGTTCACATAAATAACAACAATCATGTAGAATTTCCAGTGCTGAAAAACATACATCATAGACATATTTATAAATTTGTGTTCTTTATTAATTTAATATAATCTTTCAAAGTTTCATATTGAAACAACAACAATGCCTGAACTGTATTTAAAGCAATTGTAAGCAGAAATTATGTTTATATTTAGTAGCCATTTTATTTATAAATGGCTAACATAACTGTTCTATAAAACATGTTTCTCTACAATAGTGTCATTTCTAGCATCGAGAACTCCTATTTTAAGCAGTAGTGAAACATGGATAATAATTGACTATTTTACCGTTCGTTCGCATGGGTCGTAACAGCCATATTGCGTGAAATTAAAAATAACCAAACTAGTAAAAATAAATGTCGTTTAATGTAATTTAACCCACTCAGATATCAATATTTTATCTGCCTAAAAGAGTCCAGAAAGTTGATAAATAAAAGCATCTTTAACAAAAATAAGAAGAATTGCGAATTGACATTAGCTAAGTTAGACAGTAGCTAATCAAATGTAGGCATTTGGTGTTTGGGATGCTTTATTGCTGGCATTCAAGCACACTCTGAGTTTATCAGGTATTAACACAGCTACTATACTGTTTATCCAATCAGTTAGCTCAGTTACTATGAAAATGACACCTTGCATTGTCATGTCAACTATCTTGGCTTTCAGCCTGGCCTTTAGACCAATAGGAATACGTTTTATGTTTATGTATACGGTTTATGTTGTGCTGGCCCAACTGATGGATCTGTATCTATATGGTTCTCGCCAGGTAGACAAATGCATCATGATATTCAGCATATAAGTATATTTTGTATATATACGTTCAGTTGTATATTCTTCTGATATGTCGTTTACAGCATCTCTGATTAATCTGATGGTGGTACAGGTTTCATCAGATAGTAATGGTTTCTGATCACCAGGCACCACTTTATATACAGTGTATACAGCTCATCTTTGAATTGACATGTATGATCACATTCACCTACTGGGATAACCAGGCTATTATCAAATAATTTCAGCTTAGCTTTCGCCTTCTATAATGCAGTGTTACCATTTTGTTTAATGTTGCACGTACCATTAAATGAAATCGAATTGCATGTAGCACCAGTGTCTAACTGACACTTAACAACTTTAACGTCACCAGGATTAACTGAAAGGGATAGATATATAGAACCACCTTGTATTAGTATGAACAGTGGCAATATTCGCTATTGTGAAGACACTTTATTTGGTGTACTTAATATTCATTTCGTTGTGATTGCCGACCTTGCTTGCATACTTTACCACAGTTTCTGCAAGTTTTACAAGAACAGGGCACTGTCAAATACATGTTCACCCCACAATACTTGCATTTATTTGTCATGCATTGAGCTTTGATTTCTGCTTATCATTTGATCTTGTTTCGTGTTGTATTCTGCTGCCATGTTTCACATAGTTGACCGAGTTGGCATCACTTTCTTGACCTATTTTTCTCAACTGCTGTTGTGATACTTCACTTATTTTCAGAGACTCAACCAAGAACCAATATGTCCCCAACTATTCCATCTTCAAAAATGCCTACTTTACATAGCTCTGCTAGCTGACGAAGCCTTAACAAACATTGATTAACATTTTCATTTGATTGATGTTCAGCATTATAAAATATGTATTGCTTGTATACTATATTTTGTACTATAATTTCCATATTGGTCAAATACAACATGCATAATATCACCGGCATTCTCGTCGTATTCAATTCGTTACAAACTAAGGTCAGGAATTCTAAACATCGCATGAATATATTATCCTAACACCAGACTACATCTGGGTTTCACAACAACAAACTCCAGTTCAACTAATTAACAGTGGCTGCAGAAACACCACAAAATTAAGAACAATAAGTAACCAATTCTGACAGGATGTTATGTGTTCTATACATGACAAAGATTTTGTTGTGCATAGCCGTCCCGTCAGATCATGTGACATGGTAATGAACCGAATTACAGTAATGAACTACAGAGGGCGGCATTTACATCTTAACACACTGTGAATGTATGGACACGGGTTTCCCTGACATATATCAGTCTCAATTAGAACGCCTTTCAATGATACAGGATAACTATGAGTTTAAAAACACCTTTCCATTGCTTATATTTGTTTGTCACTTGTCACTTGTCACAGTTTTAAGTATTTTAACTTCAAAGTATCGGTTATAATAATCTACTATAACTACAAGATATTCGCCTCAGGAGAGAGGACCAAACAGAGAGTAGACTAATTCAAACTTATTCCATACAGGTTTACATGGAACTGCTCACATGCCACTTCTTGATTCCTTTTCTGTCAAACTTCTAGTTGCATAGCTGACTACACAGATTTCACGTGTTTGTGTTTAGACCAATACAGCACCCATACCAACTGGGTCGGCGTCCGCGATCTATTGTGTTTCAGCATCTTTGGCAAATTATGTCAACAATTCGGCTCTAGCAAGTTTGTGTTTTAATGATTTGTATGTATCTTCCTCAGACAAACTTTGCCTGCTTGCATCATCTGGTTCTAGCATCAATTCTCCTTTCACATTACTCTGTGTACGACCAATATCCCTCTTAGACAGAATAAGTCCTATGAATATAATATATTCTATATATATAATAATATATATATATAATATATATATATATAATATATATATATAATATATATATCCTATATATATAATATGGCCGCCATTATGTATGCAGTGTGGGTGACATAGCTCTACAAGTAACAGGCATTTTTGGCAGTTCGAGACTTATATTCAACTGTCAATTTATACGGATTTATCAAGTTGTATACCGAGAAAGCAGTGAATCATGACAGACAGCAAAAGAAGTTCAAAATCAACTGTAAACGTTGATTTTGTGTACAACATTCCATCAAATACAGTGAATAACGCATCAATGGCAGAAATACAGGCTGATGAAAATGTACACATTGACTTCATGCAAGATATCAAGACTAATGAAGTGGTACCAACAAATATGAAGTTCAAAACTACAGCAGCCAGACTACCCAAGTGGATTGGGGCAGCAAAGGAAAGATATACAGATGAGTACTGTGTAAAGATGGGG